GAATCTCGAATATCGGTGTTTTTTTTTTCTGTGCGATTTTTTTGAAGTAAAAAATTAGAGTAAACCTATAAAGTGATTTTGCCTCTTCATTAATGTCAGTGTCGTTTTAATACGTGGACGATCGTAGCTCTCCACAATTTCCTATTCTTTGTCGATCTTAGCAACATTTGCCTTATTATTATGCTCTTTAATTGTGTCTTTCAGATTGTAAGTACAAGTGTCTCTTTCCTTCCCATTTTCATTAAAACGTCATCATTCCATTCATAGCATTCTCAGCATCCTTCTGTACAGCAACACCTCTGCTTCTCGAAGTCTCATTTTCATCTGAGGAAATTGTCCAGCCAATAGCTGCCATATAGATAAACTGATATCACATAACAGCAGTGACCTCTTTTATGTGTTTCCAAACAAATGTTCCTGTGTCTAAAAAAATTACCACGATTTTTAAAATCATTTCACCCCATGCAAAGCAGCAAAGCCACTGAAGTACAAGGGGTTAATTAGTGTGAAAAAATAAAAACAGAAACATTATTAAATAGCGAGAACAATAGAAGAGTAATCAAGAATACAGTAGATAACGATCGACATTTAAATTTTTGAAGGTCAAATTTGGCAGGAAAGAAAGAAGCCAGAAGTGAGTTCCAGATGCGAGAAGTGCGAGAAAAGAAAATGTCAACATAGAACTTGCGTTTATATCTAACCAATTCAACTGTAAATTGATGAGACCTTATTATTGATCTAGTACTGTTCTTAAATTCATAAAGTCTATGTATCATAGAGAAGCGATCATCTGAACAATTACCATGAAAGGCAAACAGGAGCTACATTATGACGGCAGAATAGTGACTGAAGCCAGATCAGGACCAATAACATTGCTGATTCTTCTTTGGGGTTTATCAAGAATATCTAAATATATAGCAGGATAGCAGGATGACAAAAAAGTAAAACCCTAAGATAATATTAAAAATGTGTCTTTTTTCAGACAATAAACAAATCTTAATTAAACTACGTATCCCTTAAAAAAAAAACCTCTATTAAATACAACCACTTTCAAAAAATGGTAACAAACTGAAATAAAAATATTAATTACAAATTAAGATGTGCAAAAGTAAGTGAACTCCTACGTTTACACTATTTTTATTTTACATGGTTGCCAATGAAAGTAATTTTTATGCACGTGTAAAAATCAAAAAGACGTGTGCTCATTTGTGTATACTGCAGTCAAACAACATAACTTTTTTTTTTAAGCGTTTCACCCCAAGCAAGGTGAGAAGCCACTAGGACGCAAGGGGTTACAGAAGATTTGGAGCAAGATCAAATAGGGGTGATAGAGGAAAGGATGAGGAGAAGGATAGTGGATAGATCAAGGCAACTGGAGATGTCGATTGACATTACATTTGAATAATCTATGGAAAAGGGTGCAGTTAGTGACTAAATTAAAAAAAAAACATATACCAAGATCAAATGGACTTCCTGAAACTTTGTAAAATCACATAGTTGAAACCTATAATGGAGAAAACTACAAAAAGCTACAGAAACGATTTAGAAGGCAGATCTCTCACCGTATGACAAATTATTTATAAATGGAAAGTTTTTGGTATGACGGTATCGCAAACAAGTGGTTCTCTGCAAAAAAATAACTGAAAGAACAAGTAGAAACCTTGTTTAACAAGCCCAGGTCAATCCTACTGTGATATCTGCTGTTCTCCATTGCTTCCTGACCAATGTCGGAATAAAATATACCGGTCATTTTAGCAGCGTTACTAGGGGAAAAAAGGCACTGCTTACGAAAAAGTACAAACAAGGTGGGTTCAACTATTCCAGAGCTCATTAATAAGCTAGAAGCCTTTCTGTAAAAAAGTTTTTTTTTATCTTTGAACTTTTGATGGGGAATGATAGCCGATATGTTTGACGAGCTCCCCCCCTATGCGTTTTCCAAAGAACTTGGTTCCTACAGTTAAACATGACGGCGGCAATATTTTGATTTGGGAGGGTGCTTGGCTCCAGCTCGAAGAGTACGCCTTGACGGCATAATGAATTCTGCAAGGTACCAAGCAATTTTGAAAAAAAGTGCCTTGACCTCAGTTTGAAAATTGGTTTAGGTCGAGGCAGGATCTTCCAACAGGACAATGATCCGAAGCATTAAAACAAATCCACACAAGAAATGTCAAGACTTGGAATGGCCTAGTCAAGATCTTGATTTAAGCACAATTGAAAATATGCAGTTTAAGTTAAAGAAGCCAGTGCATGCTAGAAACCCGGGTGATATCGTGCAGTTGTGAGAGTTTTGCCAAGAAGAATAGTAAAAAGAATTGACACTTTCGGTCAGAAACTTAAAAATTATAGAAACACTGGTCGACATCGCGCCTTCAAAAGGAAGAATCCCCAAATATTAAATGTAAATTTCCCCTTACTTTTGTACATCTTAATTTTGAATTAATATTCAAACTACTGCCAAATATATATGAAAAACAGAAGAATACCATGCAGTAAATCACTCTAAATAAGTTTTTCAGAAAAAATCAGATTAATAAACATTAATTCACAGCATGTTTACTGTATCTTATACGTATATTATATACGAATACAGTGTTGCTGCCGACACTTGAGTTTGAACACAGATCGCCAGTGAGCTAACACAGGCGATCCCATGATCACGTGACCATAGAGGAAAAGCATAAGTAGGAAATAGTTTGATGGCTGATTGGTCGCTATTGTAGTCTATTCTCTATTATTAACGCTATTCTCTATTCACTATATTATTTCTCTATTCAGATCCCTATACGGATTACTATTCGAGCGAATATTATCGAGCAACTGTTATCAATGCAAGTGTTATTCGAAGGCGTCTGACACCAATATTGTTCAACGACGTTGCTATAGTTCTATCTACGTTTACAAAGTCTCTACAACAACGAGCATTACAAAAGTGACAACGAATATTCGGTAGCATTACAAAAGTGGCAACGAGTGTTCGTTGACATCACAAAAATGTACCTATATTTTAATTAAAACGTACGCAAATTAGAAATTAATTATGAATGAGACTAAAATTTGAGGCACAAATTATATCATTTCGTATAAGTTATTATATTCGGTTAAAGTGTTTTCGATTAGTGCGTATTTTTTAATGTACACATTATCCGCACTAATCGAGGGATTACAGTATTTCCTTATCGAAGTCATACAAGATTTTTGTCACGGCATGCACTGCCACCTACAGAAAAATCATTCAAATTCATCTGAATGCCAACTAAATGAAGGCAGCATGAAAACATGATATTTTCTTCTTTATTTGTTTCAGACAGAATTGATGGATTTTTCACATGGAAGCAAGTCGGGCCACTATTTTATAAATGCACCATTACAACCATGCACAAAGAAAATTCTCAAGTCCACTCAGGATATGTGTTTGCACAACCCCTGTTCTTTTGTGTTTCTCAACAGCATTTGACTGTCTGGCATCTTTTGTTGCTTTTCTGTCATCTCTTGAAAAACCTCGTTAAAAGAATATATAAGATATGATAACTGTTCGTCCAACTTCCATTTGTTGAGAAGGTAAAATTCTTAAACCTTTCTTTCTTTCTTAATTGTTTGTCCGAGCAATATCACTACCAGATTGATTATTACAGAGTGCGATGTGTAAATTGTCTCCATCTTATATTTTTAATTTCGCGCATGCGCGTTTTTTATGTTTGATTTTGTCGACTGCACAATAGAGTGGGTTCAGCTGGGCACCGTCTGTGAGGAAAGAAAGAATACCATAACGCAATTCACCCCGCTAGAAGTTTGGGAACGGCATGCTGTACTGCTTGGCATTCGCACCGGAAGCTCCAATAAGGATATTTTAGTGTGTTTGGTTGTCAATCAGTACAGAGGATTCGGAAAGTGTTGGATGATATATCCAGAGAACATCATGGTGTTTTAGAATGGCCACTAGTGACGGTGGCATTATGCGTCCATTGATCTTCCTACAGAACCTCAGACTCGACAGGGAGTTCCTTGAGGAGATAGTGCCTCCCCGAGTCACAAGTGTGTCTGCTGGAAGACACTATGCCTGGAAACAGGACTCTGTACCATGAAAAACAAGCAGGAGTACCCATTCATGTCTGTTAGACAATTTCTGCGACGACATTACCCCTTACCTAGCCACCTAACTCCTCAAATTACGACCCCTTGATTATTATATGTGGGGCGTAGTTGAGCGGGATACTAACCAAATTCCTTGTAATGCCAAAGATCAACTGAAAGCAAGTATTGTGGCATCATTCACTAACATAAACAAGGAGACCGTCCAGATGACTTGCAGGAGATTCCGAAGGATCATTTATAGAATAATTTACTTTTTAGTATTTCAATATATTTTGTGTAGTTTTGATAAATATATCTGTTAAAATAAGATATCAGCGCTATTTTCATGATGTAATTTAGACAATAGATAAATCGTACCCTGTAGGTCTTATCGTTTTACCGTTGAAAAAAAGGTACATATGATCGTAAGTTTTTTTTTTTTCTGATGGAATCATTTTCTTACCTCTGGAACTATCTTCCGGTTTCTTGTTTCTCTACCATCTATAATCTTCAAAATTGTAAATGCAAGCGCCAACGCCATTGTAAGTCTTCCTGAATCGTGTCTTTATATGGTCCTTTCTCCTCACTAAAGTCATCTCATTCTCTTCCACTCCCAATAAGCACTTCAGGGGCATTATCGCCTTGCTTGGGTTGACATAATATTTTTTTTTTTTGAAAAATTCTCTTTCTGAATGTTAGGAGATATTTTTCTTTAAACATTCCCTTTGCTCATATATCCTGTCCATATAATATCAGCATCTATGTCTTTTCCGCTTCGAGTTACGTCTTCATCTGTGAGAAAATTGCCCAATATTTATTATCAGGACATAATATAAATCTAGAAAACATTTATTTTTCTAATATCAAATCAAGGTGTTATCAATATTTTCATAGACTTCACGCCAGATGTCTTCACCATATCCAATCTAGCCATATCACATTTAAATACCGGTTCTCGTCCGATCACAGAAGTTAAGCAACGTCGAGCCTGATCAGTACTTCGATGGGTGACTGCTTGAGAGATCCAAGTGTTGCAAGCTTGGGTGTGCGAATAACGTAATGGGTGACGACTCGGGATGAGAAATCGAAGAGTCGAGTTCGAAATCAAGAATCGTTCTTCGCATTACTTTACTCTTGGGAAAAGTATGAATTATCCTCTTTCCCCGTGTATGGGTTGAATAGTAAAATTTGTATCGGAAAATCATTATCTCGAAAAATTGTTAAAACAACTGTCTCTCAAATATATATATATATATATATATACGAGGGTCATTCAATAAATAAGGTGAATTTTTTGGTATAAGGACTTCTAATACAGATAGAAGCTTACTTTTTTTTATTTTTCAACGTAGTCTTCCAGCACTGTCACACACTTTTCCCATCTGTGCACAAGCTTCCGTATTCCCTCAGCGTAAAAATCTTTGGACTGATGTCTCAGCCAGTCGCTCACAACACTTTTGACTTCATCGTCACTTTTAAACTTCGTGCCTCTCGTGAACGCTTTCAAGGGACCAAACAGGTGAAAGTCTGAAGGGGCAAGGTCTGGCCTGTAAGGGGGATGAGGGAGCAGTTCCCAGCCCAGCTCGTTGATGGTCTGCACCGTTTGGGCTGCTGTGTGAGGCGTTGCGTTGTCATGATGCAAGATGACTCCTTCTGACTGATGACCCCTGCGTTTGTTCTTTATGTCTTTCTTGACCTGCCTCAGCAGTTCACAGTAGTTCTTCTGTCAGACTGAATGAGGTCATTGACTCATTCGATCACCTCAGGAGACCTCACTTCTGTAGACCTCCCAGGCCTGTCTTCATCCTCAACACTGCTCCGTCCTTCTTTAAACAATTTAGCCCACTTGTAGACATTTTTTTTAGCTGAAACATGTGGCACCATACACAGTTGACATTCTCCTATGAATTTCAACTGGTTTTCACCCTTCAACAACCAAAATCTTGTTAACTGACCACTGTTCATTCCTGGAGCATGATTCTTGGTCGGCCATCTTTGTTAATCGCCAAAACCTTCAAAGTTTTTTTTTTTAATCTGCAAAAGAAATTAAATCCATGTGAAAATGAAGTGAAACAAAAAAAAAATAATAAAGTAAGCTTCTATCTGTATTAGAAGTCTTTATACCGAAAAATTCACCTTATTTATTGAATGACCCTCGTATACACACACACACACACACATACATATATATATATATATATATATATATATATATATATATATATATATATATATGAATTTATGAATAAAAATGACAATAGGAAAACTGGTAATTGCTGACGCGTTTCGTCCAATGTGGACTTTATCAAAGCAAAATACGAAAATGAAATTAATTGAATAAAGTAACTAATAAAAACAAAAACAGAATGTACCTAGCAACTGGAATGTAGAGAAACGCTATTTTCATATTTTTAACTGAAAAATAACGTCAGAGATTGTCACGTGTGGAGAATATTGTCATTATATCTGTGTTGATGTATTCAACCATTTTCTTTTGATTTTATGAATCTGTTGTGCATATTTGTTTGTAAGAGCAGTAATTTTGTTAAGAAAGGTGAAATAGGGAAAAAACCTGGGCGTAGATTAATATTTGGGTAATTTTCTATGGCGGCACTCTCCAGAATTTTCCTTTCTGAGAGAGTTATTTTATTTTTTTATGAGTGTAGCATTTTTAAAATCAAAATTATGGTTGAATTTATTTCTATGTATGACTAGTGCACAAGTTGTTTTTTGTGAGGCCTCTTTTGTGCTCATAAATGCGTTTTTTAAACTTCTACTTGTTTCTCCAATATATTGGAATGAACAGTTTTGGCAATTTATTTTATAAATACCTGCTTCAGAAATATTATTGCAATTATTGTTTGAAGATCTTAGTATATCTATAATGGTTTTGGAAGTGTTTGTGACTATTTCAAGATTATTTAGAAGAAGAAGAAGAAGAAGAAGAAGAAGAAGAAGAATAAGAAGAAAAGAAGAAGAAGAAGAAGAAGAAGAAGAAGAAGAAGAAGAAGAAGAAGAAGAAGAAGAAGAAGAAAAAGAAGAATAAGAAGAAGAAGAAGAAAAAGAAGAAGAAGAAGAAGAAGAAGAAGAAGAAGAAGAAGAAGAAGAAGAAGAAGAAGAAGAAGAAGAAGAAGAAGAAGAAGAAGAAGAAGAAGAAGAAGAAGAAGAAGAAGAAGAAGAAGAAGAATAAGAAGAAGAAGAAGAAGAAGAAGAAGAAGAAGAAGAAAAAAAGAATAAAAGACAAAAAAGGGACGGAGGAAGATAAGGAAAAAAACGATGATAAGAGGTAAAAAAAAAAAAATAGAAGAGGAAGAGTAAGCAAAATAAAAAATAAAAAAAGAAGAGAAACAAAAAAAGAAGAGGAGAAAAAAAAGAGGAGGAGGAAGACGAGGAAAAATAAGAGGTAGACGAACAAGATAAAGAAGAGGAAAATCAACAACAACAAGAAGAGGAAGGTCAAAAAAGAGAGAAAGATGAACGAGATGAAGACGAACAAGAAGAAGAATGCGAACAAGAAGAAGAAGACGAAGAACAAAAAGATGAAGACGAACAAGAAGACGAGGAACAATAGGAAGACAATGAGAAAGAAGAAGAAATCGTCGAATAATAATAATAATAATAATAATAATACCTCGAGGTGAAAACAGAAGGAAATCTAGCACTTAAAAACTAAAACTCTTCTTGATGCGGTCAGAGCTTTGGGTCTAATAATGAAAGGAAGTCAGCAAAATGATTCGCCATCACTCCAGGAAATCCAATGAATAGTTCTAACAAACACAGACTATATGCCACGAAGAGTGTTTTCCACTTAATTACTTTTTAATAGATGTCTTTTTTTTTAAATCTCTATCTATAAAAGGCAGGATGTATGTATGTGTGTGTGTGTGTGTGTGTGTGTGTGTGTGTGTGTGTGTGTAACGAATGCACGGCCGCAATTTTCGACGGATTTGCACCAAAATTTACATGCACATGCTCCAAGTTAGTGGAAAGGCCAAGACCGACTTTGCATTTCCCAACTCCCATCGATAGTGGAAATAATCGATTTTTCATGCTTCTATGGCAGCTTTCATGTTGTTTGCGACCATTTTCTACTGGCCAGGGTGAGAACCTATAGCTGGCTGCCACGAATAGGCAGGAAGATTATATTGGCCAGCGTGAGATCCAACAGCTGACTGACCCGAATGTTAACTAGCATGCTAGCATGCAAAAAAATCGATAGCTGCATTCGTCACAAGTGGGAAAAATTTAAATCTGCATGGCACTTTACTCCAATTGGTTCATTTGCTTGCTTAAATTCAACGTTGATTCTGATTCCACAGAACTGGGTTGGGTGTGAAAATGTATTTGTTGTTAACATTTTTTCATTCGGTTTTTCCAGTTACGAGTCCTTTTTTAAAGCTGATCGTTTTGTGTTCATTTTGTTTAGTTCTTTTTTCGTAACAGATTTAATGTTTAGTATAGAGCTTAGAAAAAATTCGCAGTGTGAGATAGGCAAGAAGTAAGGCATGTACCAACATCAGCACGAAAAAGGGCACTCCTTTAAAGGCAAAGAAGGGCAAAAATATTTTAAGTCAAGTGATAGCGATTGCTGTATGAGTCGTATGATTTTTGAATCAAGCACGAGCAACGCCGGGCCATGCTGCTAGTTAAGTATAAACAACAAAACAATCATATACTTCGCCTGCTTTAAGTTATTGGTTATGACCCGACATATGATTATAAAACAAATGCATGGCAGAAATAATCTTTTTAAATAATAATAATGATAATAATCAATTTGAATATCATTAGTGATATTTCCGTAATTGTGGATGGAAAGCTCCTATATTTTAAGTGAAACATATTTTTCACTGAATATCTTTTTTAAATTACAATATTAAAAGTCTATTCTCGTCAATGTTAATAATGCTGGCCTTAGAAACCTTGAAAACATGTAATTGCAAAATGAGCAACCCGACAACCCCATATTACTTGTAATTACTTCAATAAAAACATGACCCAGTATTCATATTTCCAATCTAAACAGCGATTCTATTCTTGACCGATTACCCATAATTACATATCTTCTATAGACTGTAGCCCTTGATACAGGAATACGTTCAAAATGGATAAATATGAGGAAATATTGTCCCTTGATTATTGGTTTCATTCAAAATATAAGACGATATACTTAATTCGCGTTCCTTGCAGCTGTCAAGTAGCTTTATCTTTGGGAATTGTCGATTGCATGATAACTGCACATATTAAGATATAAAACATATCAGTCAATCTTCTTGTCCGTCATGTTCACAGAATTCAAATCGCACATTATGGAAATAATTTAATAAACCGTCTGTACCTGTCATCTAATGAGAGGTAAAAATGAAAAAAAAATATCTTTCAATATCTGGATACCATTTTAGAGCATTTATTCAGTAGGGAATACATTAACTTTCATTAAAATATTTAGGGAATTTAGTAATGATCTGAATGGGAAAAATATTGCTTTTTGATGGCGGTAAATTTTCTTCCAAATCCCAAGCGTTCAAATATACATCTATTGTCAAGTCGAATGCATTGATTTTTGATTGCTCAGAAATGGTCCCAGTAAGATATACTCTAAAATAAAAGCAAATAAAAAATAGATGCATACGATATGATGAACATATGTTTTAGTGTTTTAATGTATTTTTTTATTTTATTTTTCTTTAAGCTATTAAATTACCTGGATTTTTTTATTATTATTTATACAGGAAATGGTTATTTTCAATAAACCTCTCTTATACGTTTTCTAGAAATATCCACCATTACCCGGGTTTTAAGTTTTAAAAGAAAAAGCTAGAAAATGCCAAACGGATTTTTAAACTTTATTTTAAAACGAAACCAAAGACAAAAAAAATTCAAAATATATCTCGAGACTTCGAAGAATTTTAGACCAGATCCATGAAAAGCATTTTTTAATTGAAAGATAGACAAGAGTTTTAAAGATTTCTAAAAATCACAAACATTTCAAAAGGAATCCAAAGTCATGCATTTAAAGACGGAAACCATATACAAGC